AATTTCCGTGTTTCCAAAACCGCACGCATAATACACCTCCGCACGCTGTAACGCTTCATAAAGTCTTCGGTGAATCTACTCGCACTTGAAAAGCACAGAAATCTGATCCTCGTCACAATGGAATCCCATGGTTTTGCTCTCGATAGCACTGCGAGGGCTGTACCTGGCGGCAAGTCGACCGCGATCTCATTTATCTTCAGACGGTATGCGGCTGCGCCTAGGGCTAATAAGGTGTTATTAATGTCGTCACGCCATAGCGTATCTAACTGCCTCCTAACTTTGCAAACTATTCTCCGCCGGCGGCTTGCTGCCATTCCCGCGCATCCCTGCTTCATTTGCCTGACAGTCCGAGCAACCCTACCAGCTGCCTGTCTCTCTGCCCGATAGGCGCTGTCATTCTCATCGAAATGTACACTCTTGAAAAACGACATTGCGTAATTATCGCGCTTGTACAACGCACCGCGACGTCGCGCCATTAATAAGCGCGAGACGCGTTTCCAAATGTCAGACGTGTTTTATTTGCGAAACCATTTAGCGAAGTCGTCTGGCGTGTGTGTATACATTCCGATATTTCATCGACAATTTCTACAACTCGCAATTAACGGGGAATTATGACTTCCAGTCATTATTTAGTAGATATTAGCCGTTCTCCGTGGTCTGACGTGACGCAAAGGTATCCTTTCAACGGAGATTTAATTAAGATTCTCGGGAAGTTTCCACCGAGTTGTAATAGAAGCAAGTGAATGAGAAAATCGGCGTGCGTCTGAAGTAAACCAAAGGTTACTTCTTCCCTGGCCGTTGCGTGCGCTCGCGTATCGGCGCGCACCTGAGAACGTCGACGAAGTATACGCGAAACTTGGCGTTTCCCGAGCGCCATACCTCACTTTGACGTAACTGCAGAAGCTTATCACGGTACGTTTACCGGGTGTGGGGGCCGCTTTAAGTAACTCGATAACAGGTTGCACTTGACAGGTGAGGAGACTCCCTCGACGCGCCTGCCCGCTCCCGCGCTTCATTGCGCCCTCAAAGGCAAACTTCGACTTCAAGAATGAGAAACTTTCGAAATGCCACTCCGAATCGTTCTTCTCTTTTTCTCCCGCGCTGGACCTCTTTCGGATCACTTCGGCGATGTTACCGTAAATACCGCCAGAACTCCCAGTCTGTGCGCCAACTATCGCCGAAGAGGAATCCCCGCGTCGAACTTACATACAAACTCCTCCATTATTGTCATTGGCTGCGTGCAGCAAGGAAAATAGTTGAATAGCGACCGAGGCTTGAATAAATAACGGAGTTTGGGTATCCGATTGCACACAGCAACTTGTTTACTAAATCTGTCAGTAAAAAACCTTATTAAGGATTCCGCTTCTGATCTGATGATGTCGTTAATTTCCGAGTGCTTATCTCAGTTTTCGACTGTATACGCGGTCATGCGCGGGCCTAAAGGAACCCCTCGTGAAAGAGCAGCGATCTGTTTTGCGACGCAAAACTTTTTTAATTAGAAAAGTATCACACACACTTTTCTAATTAGAAAAGCTGCATTGCAAAATTCAAGGCGAGATCGTGCCGCGAGTGTTCCCTTAATTAAAGATCCCCGGCAGCGGCGTACTAACCGCATCCTCGGAATGTTACTTACCATCGTTTTTATTGGCCGTGACGTATCTCGATAGATTCCTTTTTACGACGTCGCTACCGGGTCATCGATCTTCTCGGATTATCAAAGGAGACGTTTTATTCGCGGGTTCGATAATTCGCCTTCATTTCTTTTAACTGCGCTCAAAACTACGATTTCTTTGATAGATCGATTCCCATCGTCGACGGGGAATGAATTTTATCGAATTCTAATGATCGCCACTGAGACAACTGCAATTTGTATATGATTGTTTTTATCGGCTCATTAATTTATACGGATAATGCAAAATTTCAGATTGAACTCACTGCAAACGTTGGCTTTGTGTAATATTATTATCGCGATTACGCGGCAATTTCGTAAACATTATCAAATCTATCGTCACTTAGCGATAGTACTCGGCGCATGTTCTAATAGACTTGCTAATTTCCACAGACGCAGGCGGTTGCGCTTATGGTGATTACCGACCTCGCTGCAGCTCTGCAATTTGAATCGACTGTCAGGTGCCACGCACATCGGCAACCGGCAACCCTTGCAATCGGAAGTTGCTATCGCTATCTTCGCCGTTGCGCGTCGCTGTACCCGCAGAATCTATTGCGAGGGTCGCATTGATTAAAGGACGTACAAGCCAATAAAGCGGGATTCGAGCGCGACACCCCTCCCGCCGAACTGAATTCAAGTAATTATGACCAGGGGATGCGGTTCTGCGCATCTCGAATGCGCTAGGCCGCATCGCGAACGGACCACGAAATCGAGTTACCTCGGTTTTACAGTGACTACAACTTTTTCAGCTCGATATATACACCGTCGTCGCCGACGGATTACTATAACTTTTTAGCGAGACTCGCAGACGGAACAATGAGCGGCTAACTACGCGGTCCGCGAGAGGCGCGAAGAATAGGAAGTGCAAGCGCCAAGAGCGGAGAAAAATCAGGCCGCTGACAAAACGTGATTAACCGTAATTTGGCAGCGTTTCGTGCTCGCTGTGCCCGACACGGAAATTCATATCTCGAACTCGAAGAGCAGGATGTCGTTAGAATAATACCGACCCTAGTACGAGCTCGAGATACAACCGCGGGCTATATATACGCATGCTCTGTATAACATTGCCGCTGCCGTAACTTGTCTCTCGAAAGAGGAGAAGCACTTTGAGTCAGCATGACCGAAATCTCGTGCGCGATTCTCCGGTGGCCGAAGGGCGACAACCAATTAAATATACAGGATGCCGAAGGGACCAAGCGCGTCCAGCGGTGTCACACATCTGCGTCCATGAAACTGGAAATAGACTTCTGGGAAAGGATGCGCGTATACGAAGTATTCCCGAGTATCTCGCTAGAAATCATTCCGATCGATAAATACAGACCGGAAAATATGGCAATGGTTTTAACGAAGAAACTTGCCACTTCAATTAAATAAGTAATGAGTTAATTAATTTATAGCAATTTTAATTTTTTATCTCACATTTATCTTCCTGAAAATTACATTTCGAATTTCCTGTCACTTAATTGGGGAAATTTATCGTACTTTTTCGAGAAAAATTGATTTGTAGCCTATCATGAAATCTGTGGCTAGAATTATATCCGATGGTGCCGGCGCACCCTGTATATCGTATAACCGTCCATAAAATACATCTCTCGCGAGCGCGTTCATCGGTGGGAATCCAAACGGCGCATTTGCGCAATGGGACGTGCAACCAGTGCACGAAGAGCGGACCTGCCGTATACTATACCGCGACGGCGGTCGTGTTAGTCGACCAGAACCCGGGCAGCCCCGCACGAAACCCCGTACTGCGCCGCGGTATACCGGAGCGACGGCGGGTATACCGCGCTCCATTTATAGGATTGCATGAAAAATTCCGCACGCATATTCCGCGATGTTCCGTTTCCTTTGCTGCTGCGGGCTCGTTATCGTCGGCCGACCGTCTCTAAAGCGATTGGTCGTGCGCGCTCGTCCATGTACGCACATGTATCCGGGCGTGCACCACTTGTATGTGCACCACTCCGCAGATCTCGCACATAGGCGCGCTACATAGAGACGGCGGAATCTCTCTCTTTCTCTCTCTCTCTCTCTCTCTCTTTCCTTCCTTCCCTCTTTCTCTCCCGCTGTATTAAACGAGATTCGAGGCCACCGCGCTTCCACCTCGCGGAACGAAGAGTTAGTCCGAATGTCCTCGTTTCCTGTTCTATCGCCTCGGCCGTTCATGCGAATGAGTTTGGGTCGCGCGATGCTGGATTAAGAGCTTTTTACCCGACCCGTAATAAATGCTGCCTGTCCGATTTAACTGCGTGCCGCGCCGTACCTCGCGCACTTTGCTGCGGAATTAATATTGGTCGGGCGATATAGAATTGCTTCTTTCATTATTTATATACTGAAAGGGTCTAACTGCGAACGTCATGTATCTAAAGCGTTTTATTTCAAATTCCGAGTATATTCTTTGAGCATTTTTCAAAATTTAAAAGCGAATGAAATATAGACTCGGCGAGAGAGAGATAATCGTATCGAATATGATGTATATTTGTGAAGCAAACGTAACGTTAAAATCTGCCTTCAGCCGTGTACTGACGCGCCGCGAGTTAATTATTAATATCTTTATGAATGTCTCAATCTTCGTGCAAAGTTTCCTTGAGGATAACGTGCAATTTCATAAATGCACGACGGTAATAACAGAAAACTCAACTTCTGCAAGTGCCCAACCTTTCCCGACTTTCCCTCTTCCCATGGAAGGCGGCTTGTACGAACGAGCATCTCGCTCCTCGCGACATCCCTTTTAGCAACGCCCAACCAATTTAGTCATACAAATAGTGCTCGTTCGCATAGCGACGATGTCGCGAACGTTTGGTATTAAAGGCGTCATTAAGTGAGATAATGAAGCTAACTCCCTGTCGACCAGAAAACTGATAAGCTCGTCTGTTAGGCGTTGTATAAGCTGCGTACTTGAAATTTAGATATCAGACTATTTTTCTCTCTCTCTTTCATTTATTATTTCTGACACTTTAGCATTAAATATAAAGGAAATTTATTCTTAGCGCATAAGCGAGGTGCTAAATTTGGGAGAAACAAGTTCTCTATACGAAATATAAATTCTTCTGTAAGAGATATTAATTTCACGGAAGAAGAAATAGGATGACAAATTTTGTATGCCGCATAAATAAATTTATTCCAACCTAATAACCATTTCTAGCGATAAATTCTGTGCAAATTCTTCATAATATATATCACCAACTTACTTTATAACCCAAGAACGTTGGTCGCATTAAAAAACTCAAGAGTATTATCGTGGCTTATAATTAAGATTTAAGAGGATATTTTAGCAACGTAAGCCCAAGACGAAATTGGCCCGCACAGAATATTACAGCCGAAAATACTGTTTCAGGTGCCTAAGATGCCTTATTACGTCGCAGACGCTGTTATTAAAAGGAACGCGCCCTCGTATACAAGTATATATGCGTATATATATATTATATATATATACGTATACATTGGCGGCACTCGGGGTAAGTACGCTCTACCCCCTTTTAATTTTTGCCCCCGCGAAAGTAAAATATATCGGCTAAGCGGAAAGGAGCGCGGGTCAGCCATAATGGCTGCCGCAGGAGGTGGCATTAAAATTTTTCGCAAAGAACACTTTTTTATCATATATCCGCGGTCAACCCGTAAATCACCAGGCGGATGAATATTTATAGCGATTATTAATGGGGTTACGCTGTTGCGAGGATTATTCGTAGGGCACTGTAGAAGGGGGAAAGAGCCGAGGGTACAATGAGGGCGCATAATGCACCATGCGACCCCCTCTCCTCACTACCGAGTATATATGTATATATACGTATGTATGTACGTCGGTGCTATTAAAGGGAAACACGTACTAGAAGAGGAGGAGGAGAAGAGAGAGAGAGAGAGGCATCCCCTTTTCACTATTTACAACCCCGTTGCTGATTACCGCTCGCGGATTATCGCGTTGTTTCTCCCGCGCACGGATTACAGTGACATCGGCGACGAGCGCTCGAGCGTATTGTCGAGAATCTAATTCGCTGAATTCCTCTTGCAAAACGTTATTCGATCATACCAAAGAAAATAGTCGTACTCGCGTAATTCGTAGACGTTAGAACAGTAAAAGCTCGGGGGAACATAAAAATTTTACAAAGAGTTTACGATGCGGAAAAATGGTTCTTTCTGTCGACACGATGCTAGATATTTTTTTCCCATTCGCGACTCGCATCGTTTTTTCGAATTCGTTAGCCGAACAAAACCGAGTTGACGAGTTTCCCCCGTCCTTCAAAACGCTATCTATCTACTCTTATACGAACGTCGGTAAACAGTGAACCGGGCACATTGTAACGCGAGCACGGTCTAGCGATCGTTTCGCCTGTCGAAATCGACGGTGTGAAATCGAAATGACGCTTTTGAACGTGCTGTCGCACTACATCGCGCGCAGAATAGCGCGATAGGAACGACCCCATTTGTATCCGACCCATCGATAAATCGCGAACAAAGCGAGTCGCGGTTTGTTCGATCCGCGAGAGGTTTGTGCGAAACTGATTCTCCTCGCTCGTTGCAACCGAGCGTGTTGTTATTGATGTTATTCGCATTAACGTACCCCTTTATTGATGTAAACAGCCGCAATAGCTGGTGATCGTGCGGATAAACTAGATATAGGTGGCTCTAATCATACATCAAAATATGGATACGAGAGAAACTGTCAGTTATGCAAGACTCGGCGAAAAAAAAGAATATTATCGAAGTGAATGCTTTATATTAAATCTAGTATCTGCTTGACAATGTATTTTTACAGATTACGTTCATTCTCGCGTGTCACATTCACGTGTCATCGCCCATCGACTTCAATTTCTATCATGTGCGCATCGTCGCGCCTAACTTTGATCGTTAATTCGCGCTAGCGCATATTTGCAGAACGGCGAAGCATTTTGTTTATTCCGAGATTAATTAGGAATGTTGTTCGACCAGCGACATCGGTTGTCTGCGATAGTAACGAATTCGACACTAAACCAATTCAGACGGCATTACATGCGACACTCCAACGCATATATGCATCCATATATATATATATATATATCGTCTTTATTCAATTGATAACACGTGCCAGCTCGTTAGAACGCATTCTGCTCGCGCTTGCTTTTCGATCGATCAGCGTCGATTTTAAAAATATTGAAAAGTTAGCGAACATTTGTCATCAAAACTTTTTAACAGTTTTTACGTTAGAATTAAATTAAATTTTGTTTTCTCAGATCGCGATTTGATTTTTTCTCTTTTTTTTCCTTCTCTTTATTCCAATTTAATGGTTTATCAAATTTACGAATCGCGTGATATACATGTATATTTACGTGTGTGTAATCTATTTTATATATTAAACGAAACAAAATGATAATCAGATATTACACTACAGCAATAGAAATGATCCGATTTAATATCAGCGTAAATGACGATAAAGTGCACATTAACGAGTTTTATCGATACAAGTTTAATTGCAGATCGAATCCCTGGGAACATCATGGGATTGCTCTGATTTATATTTAGCCGGATATATGCGTTTATACCTTCATTTGTAAGTAAAGCCGCCGTTTATTCAATATGCCATTAAACTAAATTGATATTCACCGAATATTGAAATTAATTAAATTAAATACCTTATTAAATTGTCAAGAGTCTAACATTCCCAGTTACACGAGAGCTAAATAATTTTTTTTGCAGTATTTATGAAACAGACAATTTTAAATTTAAAGTGAAGATTTTTCCTATACTTTTTGTAATGTAAAGCAAGCATGATACAAGCAAGCTTACAGTTAATGAATACAGTAGACGGCTCACAATTCACGTGAGATCGATACACCGTCTTTAACGATCGCGCATAACATTACGCATATTAAAAGAGCGTTACACCGTCTGCCCGACGGTGATGATGAAGGCGAGTTAAAAATGGCGGGCGTAAGGCGGATCAGAAAAGAGTCCATAACTCGAAATACCTGGGCGGACGCATAACGGAAATTTAAAGCCACTTCGCAGCGGTGGCGGCGGTGTCGTCGTATATTTTAAATTTTATCGCGCCTGCAGCCCGAATATACGAGGCGCCGTCGGACGGGCGGGGTAGAAAAATTGTTCCGGCTTTGACAGCGCGGCTCGACGTCGCGCATCGTCCACGGTGAAAAATTTAGCGATACTCCCAGTTAATTTCCAGCAACTTGCCGATTTACGAATTTATTACGCCGAACTTACCCCTCTCTCTCTCTCTCTCTCTCTCTCTCTCTCTCTCTCTCTCTCTCAAAGATGTACAGCGATGAGTGAAAACACGCATGAACGTATAACGAGAAACGAGAGACTGTTTACGGGATTTCCAGGAGTAATGCGGATATTTACGCAATGGGATACAACGATGTGATGATAACGTAACGGAAGACAGATAATCTGTGGCGCCCTTCGTTAACCTACCGCGCCGTAATGGTACACTTCGGGTAATGAGAGCCTAAGTACTGTTATTCGATAGTTCAGACGAGCATCATTAATTTCGCGCCGTGGTCGTTAGTGCATCCCATCATTCTATTACGGTATTCGGATGGATCCGAGTCGCCGCGTGCGCATCCGTCGATTCCGTACCGACGCGTCCCGTGGATATGATAACGAATCCGTCGGTTATCTCGGACATGTGACACGTGACACTACACGCGCTCCGGGGATGTCACAATTTGGAATTTGCTCGGCCATTATATCCTGGCCAAACACACAGCCGCGCCGATATTGGATGTCCGTTGGAAATTTCTCCAAAGGGAGTTTCGACGTGCAAAGCGTTCCACTCGACGAAATTCTGCAAAATGCACCATAACGCTCGAATAAAGCAATCACGTGAGGTTCGATTCTACAATTCATTATCGTACATACGTACAACGCTCTCGTCGGGCACCAAATCAATGCGATTGTTCTGCATTCGGTTTTGGCCGTTTCAAGTTCAATCGCATTTAAGCGGTAAAATTACACTCAACCGTTTCAGCTGTGGCCATTTTATAAATTTTCACAGTAATACATATTCGATTAAGGATTAAAACAGCGTATTCGTGTATTGTTTTCACCGCTTTCCGCTCCACCGTCATCGCAATTTCGCGATTCGATTTCATGTTTTCGGTACAATTCCCCTGAATTGATCTAACGCTATTTCAAACGCTGTTCTAAACGCGCTTTGGATTTGAATGATAGAACAAACAAACAAACAAAAAAAGAAAAAGAAAAGTATTGATGTCTGCAAAGGTTGGCGCGCGGAATTGATTTAACGTTAATTCTGCACACGCGACACCGAGATAATCCGGCCGGATTAATTATCGAGCTCGAGGTAGCTTTCTTTACAACGCGCACTGCCGCTGGGCGAGAGGGGGAGGTAAAACGGAGAACGGTCGGTGGACAGAGGGTGCCAATTTGACGCGAGAAAAGCGCGGGGATTCTTCCTTTCTCCTTACTTCCCTTTGAAGACGATACGTAGGACAAGATCCTTTCACGGCGACCCTAACAGGTGATTTCGCCGAAGGATTCAATTTCTTTCAGAGCCGCGCTCTCTTCGCCGAGCGTGCAAATGCTCATTTCCGAGGGTCTCCCCTCGCCGCACACCACCACCCCGCTACCGCGGCTGGACCACCATCCTTCCTACAGCTTTTTGTTCCTTTCCCGAGGATCGCCGTCGTTGCTTTTATTAATTATATAGCTATACGCTCATCGGGGGCTACCACAGCGACGAAACAATGCCGGCGCACGGCACCATTATCCCCGCCCGGTAAATATTTAATGGTGGCGTCTGATCTTAAGGAGATTAAGCCGCGACCGTATATAGCCGGCTTCCTACAATTTCTCATTAATATTAGACACAGTCGAAAGTACGTGGTTTACGCGGATAACACGGGGATTCTCCGCGCTCACGATGGTTAGCGGTAGCCTCGGACGTTTGGCCAGCTAGTTTGAGGATCGTCATCGCGACTGATTTCGCCGGAAAACTAATCAGCGCGCCGTAGTTTGAGTTGGAGCATAGGTTTAATGAAATTCGCCAATTCTCTCGTGTGCGGAAGGGCATCTACGCGACGCGACGGTTGGAATTGGTCGCTCCGTCTCTCGGTGGTTATCTCTTAACTCCGCTCGTCCGCTCGGATTCTTCATCCGCCCTGATTACTCGCGAATAGTTTCGCGGGTATGTCTCAGGTACAGGACGATTCGCTACGCGCGCTGGCAAATAGCGTTTAGTGAATATTCAATGAAGGAAGATTGAATTTGTGACGCACGAATTTTAAGTCGGCGGACTCATGATTACTCAAAGAACTCAAAGGGTTTCGCCGGGGAATCGCATTGACGGTAATTCAAATACGGTTACGTGACGTTTCTCGTTTGCACCGGCTGCGAGGCGAAGAGAGCGGGACCATGTCAATGCAATCTGCGACACACAGGTTCGCCAAAGTCAAAGATGGCGGATCTTCTCAGACAGGGCTTAAGGGAAA